CCCACTTCTTCGGATGCATCCGAAGAAGTGGGTTGTAGCCCACGAAAGCTTATGCTCTAATAAATTTGTTAGTCTCTAAGGTGCCACAAGTACTCCTGTTCTTTTTGCGGATACAGACTAACACGGCTGCTACTCTGAAACAGATAATTCATTCTATGCTCAAAGAGTAAGGGTGTGAAGATGAGGGAGAATACATTGTATTTTTCTTACAAAACAAAGACAAACTCAGCCTTAACTGTGTGGAATCGTGACCAATGCCTCAATAATCCATTCAAAATACTGCTGCAAAGATCATTTTCTTGATTTACCACATCACCCTCTTTGTGTCCTTCTGCTTGCTTCCCTCCTGTACTGCATCAAACATAATTTTTTTGGTCTTCACTTTTAAGGCTTTTCATGGGCTTTTTTCCTGCCCTGCCTATCACTTCTTATGCTGTTGAGATGTAGAGTTCCATATCTGCTCTGCCAATTATGCCAGCCTACATCACCCACTTCTACTTAAATTTTTGAAACAAGTACCTTCATGCTTTTTTCCAAGCTGCCCTTTGTGCATGGAAAGAGCTCCCTGTAAACATTTGCAAAGCCACTTCATTGTTGGCCTTCAAATCTTCTAAAACTCCTCTCTGTCATGAGGTTGACACAGATGTGACCTCTGGGTTTTATGGTGACCAGTATTCTCATTGTTATCCCATGCTCCTCATTCTGTTTGTAGCCACATGTGTCACATTTCCAGTAAAATAGTAAGCTCTTTGAGACAGGGGTGGTCTCTTCGTTGTGTTTGTACAGTACCTGACCCAATGGGGTCCTGATTCATGATTGGGACTCCTAAGGCACTACCACAGTACAAATAATACATAATAAATTCTAAACCAAGCCACGTTGGGGATATTATGGGCTAAAAAAGTTGGGGTGTTTTGTTTTTTTGTTTGTTTTTTAAATCAAGTGAACGTCAGTTAAATTTTCAAAATACCATAATTTTTTACTCTTGTTTTGTTGTTTGTTCTATTGGAATTTAGTTTACCTGCTTAGGCACTCTGAAAAGTCCCACTTGGTGCTTATCTGCATCTTTAGGCATCTAAATACCTTTAAAAAGCTGTCCCTAAGAGCTCACATTAAACATTACTTGGTCATCTCTATGAACTCATAACAAAACCATGGAAGACCAGACTTAACTTTCCTGATACTTCTAGAATACAAGCGGGGGGGAGGGGAAAACACTTTCTTTATGCATCATAAAGAAACCACAAAGGGCACAAGTCTCTTTTAAATTCCTTTGCATGTCCCCTTTGAACTTTTCCCAGAATGAAATAAGAAATGTGATATAGAATAGTGATCTAAAATTTGGGTTTGACTCATCTTCATTTTTTACATTTGCAGATTTGAAACTTGCAGGCACGCATGCACACACAAAATACTTCCGGGTAAAGAGAGAGACTTTCTTGTTGTGAACATAGTTTTTTCTAGAACATTGTGAATGTAGTTTGGTTAAAATAAGATGTTCATATGATAGAATAAGTGTTCTACAATTGAAAAGGAATTTATTAAATACTTACTACAAAAGTATCTTTTCTTAAAACTCAATAATGACCTTAGCAAAAAGCATTCCTTGAAGTTACTGGCCTTAAGAAGATCCACTATAGCCAGCCAGTCAATTATTCCTGAGAACACCATTCACTTTGACTGTTACTGGTTTATCTCTCACAATAACTGATCCTCACCTATTTTGTATCACTTCTCATTTCTTTAGCCTGACGCTCCTAGAACTGAAAAGATGGCTGTTGATCAGGACTGGAGCAATGTTTATCCAACTGCAGCAGCATTTAATCCTTCTTCAGTGCCTCTTCCCATCAGAATGGGCTATCCTGTGAAGAGAGGAGTACCTCCACCGAAAGAAGGCAATTTGGAGCTTATAAAGGTAGGTGCATCACAATAGTCTTTATATAATTTAGTTTTATTCCAACTCTCAAAGACCAATGATTTGCAGTATGGCTTGATCAAAATGTTTTCTCCAGATAGCGCTTCATACTTGATATATTTATATATACTTCATCCATTTATCACACAATATATTTAACATAATACAACTGTGCACCCAAGTAGCGAATGAAGATGAAGAGATTCAGTTCAGCTTTAGTATCAGTTTACTGTGATCCCTTAAACTTTCATGCGTACAGGGTCTGGTCCTGGTGACTTGGTCTCATAACTTATTAATGAGATTTGTGTTGGGTCAGAGGTGAGAAGAGACACTTGTTTAATCCTCTCATTTGAATCTCCTATCACACACTTGGTCTAAAGACAATTAAGTAGTGAAAGTAGTAGTATAAGTAGAATAAGTAGTAGAAAGTAGAATAAGTAGTCAGACTTGGTTTATTGAGCAAGTTATTGTCTGCTCAAGGGAGTGCCTTCAATTTTAAGTTCACACAGCAGTTTGTTTGTTTATAAGCAAACTAGGTTACTGAAAAATAATCATATTTTATTTCAGATCCCCAACTTTTTGCATCTGACTCCCCCAGCAATTAAGAAACACTGTACAGCTCTTAAAGGTGAGTTTTTGCCCTTTCTTTAAAACAGTCTCCTTGGAATTCTTAAGACACTTTAATAAGTAATTTAATTACACCACTGTGTGGTAGGATAAGAAGACCCACATACAAAGCTTGCTGCTTGTCAGATTTCTTTCTCAATATTGTCCAGTACCATTTTTCTTTTGTCCCATTGATTGGTATGGAATCATATTTCACATAAGTCTATATATTCATGTTTCTTCAACTCTCAGGGAGTTCAGTTTTTTCCCCCAGAAAAGAGGCCACTGGGAGGCTTAATGTGTTACTCTGGGTTGCGATGTATTCAATGTACTGGTGAGATTGCTTTTCTCTTCTGTTAGGCTCAGCTAGTGTAGGGAAATGGATAACCTGATGTCTTGATGAGTATGGGGCTTGGATATGACTCAGTCCAGAGAAAACTACTGCCTGGTTTATGCACAGTGTTTTGTACCAGTAAAACTGTTGGTTAGGACTGCATTTTATTTATTTTTTTTTTTTAAACTGATGTAGGTTTTCTGGTACAACCCCCAATCTGGATGCATTTATCAGTATAAATGTGCTTCTACCCCATTCAGAAGAGGAAGCTATACTGCTATACGTTTATACTTGTGTAATTTCATCCACCCTGGGGTTGTACTGCTTTAACTGTAGCATTTTAGCTATACCAGTATAAGGCCTGAGGAAAGCAGCTGGAAGAGTTGAGAAAGATTGTATACATTCTCCAGCTGAGATTGTGCAGAAAATACAATTTAGTTGTATTAGATGTTTGGTTGTTCTTGGATGCCCAGGTAGTGATGGAGGCCAAGAGTGTGTTTTTCATCTGTCTTTTGAGAAGTGCAACCTATCTTCTTCCAGTGAAGATCTTGCCATAGTTATCCATGCCAATGTCCTCTCAAAATTAATTACTGTTATGTGTTCTGCTTGGTTCTACAACTTGAAATGGCTTGGAAATTAAAACTAATGATGAACGTAGCAGTCCCCTTCTTAGGTGGAGTTTCATGCCAGGGCACATTCTATTGGTGCTATAGAATCTCTACTGTATGCCAGTAAGTTTCCAGGTGGAATTCAAAATGTTGGTTATAATTTATAGATCCCTAAATAGCTTGAAACCTGGTTACTTGAGAGATCCACTTGTCTCTTCCATTCCTCTGAGATCGGTAAAGACATTTCACACGGGAGCCTCCTCCATACAGAAGAGGGATCTACTGGCAGTGTGTTCTCTGAGAGGAATTCTCTACTTTGAAATTCAGGGGTCTTCTATTTTGAAATTTGTTTTTCACCCTCTGCCCAACGCAACAGATCCATGATCTGTTAACTAGAGCTGGTCAGGAATTTTTTAGAAAAATGTCCATGTGCCAAAATAGACTTCAAAACAGAGTCAGGTTTGACAAACCTTCCAACTTCCCCCTCTTCCCCCCCCTCAAAAAAAAAATAAAGTTGAAGAAAAGCTTCAAAATTATTGAAACACAACAATTTGGCTGACCCAAAAGGGAAAAAAAATAGCTTTTTGGTTTTCAAATGTTTTCAGAATTTTGACTTTTTTTTTCCTGATTTGAGATGGGAGGGGAAAAGACTTCTCAAATATAAGATATATAAATATAATAAAATTCTCAAATATTTGTGAGATGGGAAAAGTTTCCCACCCAACTCTGCTATTAGCCTTTAGAGTATTCTGCAAAGCCCATCTTTTCTTCTGGACATCTGGAAAGGGTTCTTCCAGCATTAAGTTGATGAGCTGATTTCAAAAGTGAAGAAATATTGTTGTGATGGTGCTTGTAAACCAATAACAACTTTATGTTTTCATTACGTAAGGGAATATGGTTTCCCTATAAATATACACAAAAATTCTTTAGAACTATAAATACAGGTAAGCAACAATTTTTTTTTTTTTTAAACTTTACTTTTGTATCCCTCAGATTTCTGCACTGAGTGGCCAACTGTACTGGACAGTGATGAGAAATGTGAGCAGCATTTTCCTATTGAAATTGAGACAGTAGATTATGTTTCAGCAGGGCCATCTGTTCGTAATCCCAAAGCAAGAGTGGTGACTTTAAGAGTAAGTACTATATTTTAGTAAACAACAAAGGCATTTTTCAAGCTCTTTCAAGAAGTGTTGCAATTGAGCCTCAAATAAAAGGCAGTAGATTACTTTAAATATAGAGCAACATGTGGAAACTCCTTCATATTAGTATGACCTGTATCATATATAAGTGAGGAGCAGCTTAAAGTAAAGACAAAGTGGCATGCTTCCTGTCCATTCAAACGTTCTGTAAGGCAGACAGAGATACAGTTATTAGCCACATGAATTTATTTTAGAAACACAAATGCCATCAAGCTTGATAAAGTCAAAGTCTTTGTTATTCCTTGGGCTAAGGAATCTTATTTAAGTAATATCTAACCAATGACCGGCATTTTGTGGGCCTGGTATCTTTTAGGACTCATTATTGCTTTTGCACTTTTTCATTTATAACTGTAAGACTTATAATGAGAAACTTTATTATAATGAGTTAACTTATGTTGTGGCCATAGGGATCTGTTTAACAGCTTTCTAATTAATCTCTCATGCTTTCTAATCTAATGTCATCAGGTTAATGTGCTCTGACTCGTGATGCTCATTATTAATTTGCTAGAATGTGATAGTAACAAAAGCTTGGATTGGAACTGTTCCCAAAAACAGAAATCTAGTCCTAGGAGTGCAGTCATTTCAGGTATTTTATTCTTTGTCTTCAAGGTGATTTACAAAGGGGAAAGGAGTTATAGTAAAACAGAAGACCTATGATAATATAATTTTTAATTCTGCCTGATATTTACCCCAGAAATGGCAGAATATAAAGTCATACCTGGCTTTGCTGGAGGACTAGAGCATTTGGTTGATAGCTTACTTAGCTAGAACAGAAAGGGCAAAGTGAGTCATTATCAGAGAGCTTTAATTCACCTGTCTGATAGTTTGATATTCAGGAGTTCACAGAGACAAAACTCTTCTGTTTTATGAGTTAAGCCATGGAAAGCAGGTATCTTGTCCTAGGGATGTGAAAACAGTATAATCCTTCTTGGGGCCAGGGTGGCAGAAATAGTGTTACTTTTTCCTCTACTATTTTATTTTGGGTAAAAGTAGTGTTTAAAAAACTGTTCTATTATCTCAGTGGTCCTAATATAGTTATGACTTTGTTAATATTCCAACACCTACAACTAAATTAAAATGGAATTAAGGTTGTGAATAATGGGGTGGGATTAAAAATATTCCAGAGGTGTTGTCATTATTATCCCAAAAATAAAGCTTTACAACACTTCTGGATTTTTTTCATATGTAAGGTAGAGATGCACAGTTAAGGCATGCATATAACCTTAGCTCTACCTTGTAGTGACATCCTGCAATAACCATATGATTATGATTAAAGCATTTCAGTGTTTGTGGTCCCAGATCAGATTAAATTGATTTTTAAAGATGTATTTGACTTTTTTGTATTTTTCCCCTTGTGTTGCCAATGCAAGGGAGAGTTAAGTTTTTATTGCATGTCTTAAGTGTGCATTTCTTATGATAATATCTTTGGATTTCTGCAGTACAACTGCTAACTCTCAATTTCCTGGGTTTGTAATGGTTTTAGGATAATTAGAGCATTGTTGTGTTAGTTTATTCCCCTCCCCCCCCCTTAAATTACTGAAATCTACTTGTAAGCTTAACTGCATTTTAACTTAATTTTTTTGTCTTGGAATCTTTATAATTGAAAATGTCATACATGAACACTAAACAAGAAACACAGGGAACACTACTTTGTGATGTAGTATTGACATTAAATAATTTTTAAAACTTTAGTTTGAGGGCAGATTCCAATACACCAAAGCTGTGCAAAGCAGATAGCTGGGGGTACTGGTGAATTTGGCTCTTAATTTGCAGTTAATTTGACCTACTTGTGTAGAGGGCTGAATTAATCAGACAGGTGGTATGTGAGGAAGTGGGGGAGAGGGGAACAGGGAGAACCCAATCCCAGTGTCTTTTTGCTTTAAGGTTAGCACTGATGCCCAAGCTAGTATGTGGAAATGGAAGTTTTTAGAGAGCAGCGACAGATGGGCTAAGTAATCGACCAGTGAGAACGCTTGACGCGTGTCCAGTCCCCCTCATATGACTGACTCTTTACAATGAGTAGAATTGTTGTATGCAAATTAGCAATACAGGAACAGTGGTGACTGGTGGTTACAACCCTATCTGTGGCCTATTATAATTACAAAAATATTAGATACAATTATAACAACCTTGGTTATAGCTATGGGCAAGATAAGATTTCAGATAAGTTTAACTGTATGGATGTCTTATTCCGACAAAGAAAAGACTGAGAGGGATGCTAAATTTCTTGAATGACCCTATTTTTAAACTATAAACTAACAGACTTGATTATTCTTTCTGTACTCAAAGTATAAGTGCTGTAATGTTGGGGAGGATATACTGTGTTTCATACATAACAAGGAGGTAGTGGAAAATGGAACTCAAGCTTAACTATGGAGAGTCAAGACCAGTGCCTCTAGTATAAATTAACTTCCCTTGGGGTGGCAAGTCTTTGAGATGCATGAGAAGGGGTATATTTGGTTTTGGAATCTTAAAGGCTTGTGTGTACTTTTTGGGTTTGGGGTGGAGGGGCTTTGGGGTTGGGAAAGTGGTAGTAAGGGCATTGGACCCTGGCTACCTCAACCATGGTATCTCCATTTCCTATGGTTGGGGTGATGAGGATTGGCTTGCATTCTCTCTGAATGAGAGGTGTGGGCTTTAATGGGGGTAATGGAGGGAAATTCTCAATGGTAAGGAAGTACCTGTAGAAGTGTTGTCCATTCATCTATCTTCTCCCTCCCTGTGTGTGGGATTACATCATTTGTTAGATGGCTTTTGCCGCTTGCCCTGCAGACTGATACTTGGGCATCTGGCTCTGGTGACTGCTTACTTTGGAGTGCTGACACATAGCAGCTGAGAAGTTGGAGTGTAGGTCTCGGGTGAAAGGGATATGGAGGCCTGGGAGTGGTTGTAAGAATGAAGGGGATCTCTTGATCCCGGAGGTGATGAAAGCTTTTGGTGTGTGTTTTTAATTCTTATTGACAGAAACCTAAATTGAGATGTTTTATCTGAATACCATTAGTTCTGCCTTAAGAGGCTAGAGTGTTGTAGGAGTTTGAGTGTCAAAATAGTTACATAGACTTTAATGGGTTTTGAGGTCTGTAACTAGCAACGCAAGAGCATAAAGACAGCAGGGCTCAGTATTTCAGTTCAGAAGCTAATCGCCATGTGAAAATTGCTCACCACAGTTTGGGAGATCCAGATGTCTCTGTGCAGCTTAAAACTGTAGTGGTTTCATAGGAAATGGAAATGAACGTGGATAGTAAATTAGCAGTACTCAAGCCTATGTAACATTGCACTTCTAATAACCCCATTTGCCAATCGTGATGTGGTAGTGCTAGCCTCTGCTGCTTGTAGAAATGGGGCTTCAACGGAAGCAGTCTCCCTTGATAAGTGGGAGGAACAGTCTTCCTGACCGTGGTGGGAAGAAGGCTGGGGACTGCCTTATCTTCATGCGTTTGTCTAGACCAGATGGTGGGTGCCTGCTAACCCTTCATTGCAACAGGCCGGGGTGTGGTAGCAGCTGTCATTCCTACAGGAATAGTTAGATGCTCAGTATTCCTGCTGTGGATCCAGGTTTCTCCATAAGTCTGTCAAAACTGTTTTTTTTTTTTCCCCTTTTCCCCCCCCTTTTCTTTTTTTCTTTTAGTTGTCCAGTGGCTAGTTGGCAATATGAAACTTCAGAGTCCTAAATAATGCACAGTTTTCTCAGGGTCTGATTTTATTCTTAAAATCTTAGCCTCAGTGTTCATGGTCATGTCTTTGCAGGGGGAGGAGGGCTGTTTTTATTCTTGCATTTTAAACAAGGTAATTGTGAAATTGAAACACTCTAGTCCAAAATCTTAAAAATCAAATCTATTTATTTATTTATTTATATTTTTAAAGAATAGGTTTAGCATTTTGCTACACTTTAGATTTTTGGAAATGTAAATATCCTTAAATCTCAGTTCTTTCCAGTGATTATTTTTGTTGACATCAGAATCCAAATACTTAGTAGTGATGCAGATCTGATAGAATGCTGTCAGTTACCATGTATTATAACATGTAGAGGTTCTGGGGTTGTGAAATATAATGCAGAAAATGGCTTTTGATGAACTCTCTCTATTTTTGTGGAATGAACTTAGTGCTATTGAAGAGCACTGCATTAACAGACCTACAGAGATTGTCATTTTTCAGCCTGATCTTGAGAATAGCCTTTGTGGCTGAGATATTAGCCCTTTGTCTGAGCCCCCCCAACAGTGGGCGCTGTTGTATGATAAGGATGGGTCCCATTAAAAACTTCAGAAGACCACCGAGTTGTATAATTCTATAGAAGAGCCATCAGATTATGCTAACTTTGAATAATGGTTCACTTTACCTCTGAGCTATCTAGTTCCCTGAGCTATCCAGTTTTTTTCCCCCCTTACCTGCCCATTAGATACAAATGTAGCAACTTGTGAATTGGAACTGAATTTGACTTGTCAGTAACTAACAATTTTGTACTTTACAATTAAGTAAAGTCCTATCTAGCTGAAATGTGTGTCCTCAGATATTAGCATGTGATATGGTGTTTATAGGGCAGCATGTGGATACTTAATAGTATTCAACCAAAAAAAAGAGAGTAAAAATGAAACAGCCAGCCATATGGGCTTACAAGCACTAATGATCATAACCAAAACCTCATTAATGAATTCTGTTTTTAGTGTTCTCTGATTAATCCTCTGACAGCATAATCTGCCTGGTGTGTGTGGGGGGTGGGGAGGTGGGGGGAGATTTTACGGTGGAAAGCAGATGACATTAGGTCAAACAGTGACTGAGATTCTGTCATGAGTTTGCAGGTATTTGCTGCAACAGTCTCCATTGTGCCATGGAATAAAGAAACCTCTGTTGGTGATGTGCAAATTTATATAAAACAAAAGTGCAGAATTGTATTGTTTTTGAAGAAAAAATTGTAGAGGCTCTTTAATACCTTAATTTGCCCCCCTCCCCCCCCTTCCCCCCGATTTTTTTATTCCCTCCTCCTCCAATGCACTTGCTTGGGTCTAATCTCAAATAGGAATCTTGTCAGCTGTTAGTCTAACCTAGTGTTATAGGACTGAAAAAATAATCTGCTGTCATTTTACATCATCCACTATTAATGATACTATGGTTTATAAACATTAACTATTATAAAACAGTGTGGAGCAGTCTATTTGATAGTTGGAAACAGTAAAATTAATATCCTGCTTGAACTAGCTAACTGCATAAATGTCTGTCATAGTAACACGGCCCTGGATGAGCAGAAATAAAAATGAAATCTTTTTTTTAACTTCCTGTAACATAAACTGAGCAGACAGTTAAATATTGCTTATGGAACACAGTAATATGAGAATGCTATAAAGGTGTTTATTGTCATGAGTTTGGGATAATTACACTATGCACATGCGAGTATAACAGATACTGATACCCCACAACTAATGTAGAGTATGAAAAGTACTGCTATGTTACCATGGAAGTGTTTTGCATTGTTGGTAAATAAGAGCTAATGCTTGAGATCTGGGTTGGTGGTTTTCACTATATACCAGGAGGTTCTGTTAAAGCAAGTTAGATAGTCATGATTTTACAGTGCCTATGTATGCTAACATGTTGTTTGTTTGCCCCCCAGTCGCTGAAACTCTTCAGAGTTCATAGCATAATCTGTTCATATAGCTTTCTGCAGCGCTGACCCAGTCTTAAAAGAAGTATTTGACAAAGAATGTTTGTCAAAATTTTAGCCACAAAATACTTAATTGAAGACGGTCATTCAAAAATACACGTTAAAACTGGCAGTAGAAATATCCTCTCTTAACTGTTTTAAATGGTGGCTTAGGGAAGGGTTTTTATTGAAGCTTTAATGAAAAGTTAAACTACTTAGAACTTTGGTTTCTAAGATCTCATTCAGTCTGCTCTTTGTAGACCATAATGATCCAGTGGAAAATCTCATGAGAGTAGAAGTATTTACTCATTACCTTTTTTAATGTGCTCTGTGATGGTATAGCCATTCGCCTGGAAGAGTTTTCATTTTTAAATGGTGTTGAACATACATGAGACCCACTCTTGCAGACACTGATGTCTGTCTTACATGGAGCCAGACCTCTCAAGTGTACTGAATCTTGTGCGACATTCTGAATTTAGGGTGAATTAGGCTGCCTGTTCAACAAAAGGAGGAAATTCTCGTCCCCCTCCCCCTGCCTCCCTCCGTACTGTAAGCAAGAGACAGAATTCACATCTTACATCTACTGACTGCTTTTTATATTTCCATACACTTACACAGCCCTTATTACTAAAACCTCATATCCTGATACTAAAAGGTAGTCAAGATCCCCTTCTTACAAATAACTTTACAGAGAGTGCATAAGGAAATTGCAGGCAGTACTGAGATTAGAGCTCTCTTCCACTCAAATTGCCTTTCAGACTGAATGTGTTAGATACGTGCTTTGGTTTTCCAATCTCCAGTCACTGCACCACATTCCTCTCCTAAAGCAAGGGTGAGAACTCAATATGTCTGATCTCCAAAATTCTAATGCTTGCCTAGTAAGTAGTTTTGTAACCCACAGACTGTGTGAGATGAGTCCCCATCTAGTGGCTAGTCCACATAGAGGTCAGCATTTGCTAAAGGTTTGTAGTGGGATCTGAAGGTCCAGGTTTCAAATTCATGTGGAGGGAATTTACAGTTGCATGTGACTGTGTTTTTTAGTTTTCTTTCTAGAAACTGGTTAATGTAGTTAATAGACAGAACTTGGTTTAAAACAGAACTTACAGTTTAAAATAAAATCTATAAATTGTGGTGTGACATGCAACAAAACACAGGTAAACCACATTCAGGTCATTTGTCAAACATTTTGATTGTGATGTCACATGCTATCAGACTTCCATTTTCTCTGTAAGCCTGTCTCCTCTACACATTGCTAAAATTATAGAAATCATTCTTACATAGTCTGGACATAGAGGAAAACAGACTTCCGCAATAACATTGCCATATTTTCTTAAATCGTAAGACCTCCAGAAAAGGTAACATAGCTTTTGTGTATTTGTAAAAGGTTATGTGAAGTTAGTGCTGTGACATTTTTAGTGCTACTTCCTAACTTCCTTGTCCCTTTTTTCCCCTTGTTGGTTAAAGACATATATTCCAAGTTCTGTGCCTCAGCCATTTTTGAGTCATTAATTTAACCCTACTCCTTATTAATATAGTACATTTTTCCTGAAGTTTGTTAAAGCCTCCTAATTCTTTTAGCCCTTTAGCTAGCATTGACTCAGGGCTAGTCTACACTAGAATCGCTACAGCGACGCAGCTGTAGTGCTGCTAGTGCAGATGCTCTATGCCAACGGGAGGGAGCTCTCCTGTCAGCATAATTACTCCACCTCCCCAAGTGGTGGTGGCTATGTCAGTGGGAGAGCTTCTCCCCCCCCAACATAGCACTGTCCACACTGGCGCTTAGGTCGGTGTAATTTATGTTGCTCAGGGGGGTGGCTTTTTCCACACCCCGGAGCAACTTGAGTTATACCAAAGTAAGCGCGAGTGTGTACAAGCCCTCAGTCTGGGGGTTTTGTCTGCCTTTTCTTGACAAACCCCTTCCTTCCCTTCCTCCCTTTGACTGGGGGTGGGGTGTTAACAGGCCACTGCACCTTGAATGGTTGTAGGGACGCATAGCTCCCGAATCGTCAGCCCACGGGTGCGGCACACTGTTCCCATGGCTACGAGGCCGGAGCGGCCTTCACCCCAGCGTCTGTGTTTGGGAAACTTATTGGCTGACCTGATCACCACCCTCGCTGCTTGCTTTCACGTGCACAAGATATGGGTTTGTTATCTCATGTTGTTGTACACTGTGTGCTCCTCCTATGCGCAAGAATTTAACCACTTAGAAGTGTTGTAAATAGGGAAGTAAAAAGAATAAAAACACCAGTGAAAAGTTCCTGGGAGGCTTTTTGGCTACCACGACCTGGCGTTCTGTCTCCTTTCCTTTCTCGTCGCCACAAATGGTCCCTTGAAATATGTGTCAACTTACTTATACTAAACAATCTGTCCCATCTTGTATTTATCTGTGACGCTGAGACTGTCTACATTACAGCAGCACAGCTGCACCGATGCTGCTGTGCCACTGTAGCGCTTCTGGTGAAGATGCTTTAAGACGATACAAGAGAGCTCTCCTCTTGGCTTAATAACTCCTGCCTCTGCAAGAGGTGGTAGCTATGTCTGCTGCAGAAGCTGGCCACACCAGTGTTTAGATTGGTATAACTTTTTTGCTTTGGGGTATGGATTAGTCACACCTCTGAGCGATGTAAGTTATACAGAAGTAATTTGTAGTGTAGACGTAGTTTCCCAGACCTGAAAAAAAGCTCTGTGTGAGCTTGAAAGCGTCTGTCTCTCACCAACAGAAGTTGGTGCAATAAAAGATATTACCTCACCCACCTTGTCTCTCTAATATCCTGGGACCAACACGGCTACAACAGCACTGCATCTTCTTTAATTGTCAGAGCACATTCTGGTACTCTTAGTGCACAGAAGCAGGGTCCATGTGGCCAGTTAATGCACAGCAGGCTAGAGCACCATAGATTTATAATCCAGCTTGCTGCGCACAAAGTCACCTCATGGACAAGCCCTAATTCTGATCTTTGAACAGTTCCTCAAAGAGCTACATTGGCTGCTGCTTGTTCCTTGCATTGTTCCTTTTCAGAGGAATTAGTCCATTGCTGGTTAGCAGTAATGCCTTTTAGAATTCCTCAACTGCCTTTCACACTGGTGGATTCTAATCTGTCCTCCCATCGCTCCTCAACAAAAATTTGTCATCCTGAAATCTAATATCCTTGTACAGGTGCATTCTGTGAATCCATTATTTTCTAAAGTGAATTCAAGTACTTTATAGCCACTAGTACCAGTTTATCATTCTTTCTTGGGTTCTGTACATAATAAGTAGATTCAGGTTGATTTCCTCTTAGCTGGATTCTTCTGCTTGTGCATTGTAAAGCTATTTTCTATGCATCTAAGGACTATAGGCTTGATGCAGGAACTACTGTGGAAAACTCTGTGGCCTGTGTTAAACAGCCTATATGGTCAGTATCATCTAGCCATAATATCTATGAATATTTTTGATGCATGCTTGTATTTGTCAGTTGGGTAATAAAAATCCCCCAATAAGTGTTGTGGTATTTTGGAGTGCATCCTTTTTAGTGTCGTCCTGTTTTTTAGACACTTAGGACAAGCATCTTTGAAATATCTGAGTAGTAATCCTAGTGATCTGCAAAAGATACCTGTTGTTTGTTTTCTCTGCATCTGGATAAAAGGAAAGACTGACAAATTCACCCCAAAACTCTTTGTTCTCAAATGGTTCCTTGTCTATATTTTAGATATTTTTGACAAGTAATGCTTTTAAAGAGAATTCTATGAGTGCACATATCTCAATTCCTGGCTTTTAATTCTTCAGTAAAAGATACTGTCTGTCTAATTCTAAAAACATCTTGTGTGTGTATGTGGATTGGATCTGCAAAAGAACTAAAGATGTTTTCTCTTGTACTTCAAGGTTAAGCTTTCCAAATTGAACTTGGATGACCATGCAAAGAAGAAGCTCATTAAACTTGTAGGAGAGCGGTACTGCAAGGACACAGATATGCTTACCATTACAACAGACAGGTATGGTAACACAAGAAAAATGTCTGTGGCATTGGCCCTATTGGAAAGTAGTGAGGGCCTGTTGCACTAATATGTCAATTTGTCTTACTAAATTCGTGTCCCTTTCTGAACTAAAATCTACTGATTAAAGGCAATTACAAGTATTCAGTTTGCAACTATATGTTTGTAATGGCAAATCTTATAAGTGTCTAAAGTATCACCAGGTGCTGGAGAAATGCATATTTGTAAATCATTATTTTAAAATTATGTTTAGAAATGTGTGACAATGGGATTATATGAATTTTACCAACACTAGAAAGAGCATCAGGCAGAAAACTAAAAGGGCTTTGTTCCAATCCAAAGATCTCTTCAAAACTCTCATCTATTTATAGGTCACGAATCATTGTAGTTATTTATAGTTACATTTCAGCAGGTTGCCCTGGAGGAGCCTGTTTTTTGTCTCTCACTGCGGCATTTAAGAGGATAATCCAAATATTAAGTTGTTTATAAACCAAAATATCCTACAAATTCAGAATTTAATTCAGTAATGGGGTAAAATCTGTTGATATATACATGTTAGTGTTTGTAAAGCACTACCAATATAAAAGCACTAACTAGGTAATCTTCAGAACACTTATGCACATCAGCAGTATTATCCTCATTTTACAGCTGGGGAAATTAAGACACTGAGTGTTGCTCAGGGTTCCATAGCAAGTTACTAGAGCCAAGTTCAGAGCCTCAGAGTTCTGGCTTCCAGTCCCATATTCAGTCCACTTGATCATGTTACACACACACACACACCATTTTTTTTTTTTAAAGGTATCTTTCAGTGGAAAACTACATAACTGAAGTTAAAATAAACAGAAGGTGTAACTTTTTGGTCACAGGCCTTTGTATTCCAAGTTGTTAACGAATTCACTATCTGTTACAACTATTATTTATTTAATACAATTTTGTAAACATCTTTACTGAAACTGACTTTGTAGGTTATTTGATATTAGTAGCAAAATGTTAACTTGAGGTCCCTTCTGCCAGTCTGCAATGGCTTCTGTAATGGAAATTAACAATCTCATACTGGATTTTGAAAGAATAAGACTATAACCTTGATATCTTAGGCAATGTTAATTTTTAACCTCTTAATAAAACAAATTCTAATGTCCAAGGCTTTGAAGGAAAGCTTTTGCTCCATCTACAAGGCCTTCTACATTGGCCTAAGGTACACTATTCAAACTGCTCTTTGTAAAGTGCTGTGAGGTATCTTGAGCATGAAATGTACTAGAGCAAGTTACACTCAGTTCACTTAAGGGATCTTCCTTTGTGGAAAGAGTATGGGCAAAAAGTCTTGGGGCTCTTTTTTCCCCTCTCCTTTTTGTGACTGTTGGTTCCATCATGATCCTTAATCATTTAGATGGGTGCTAAAAGTGGTTCCGTTGAGAGCAATCTCCTACTTTCTACGGTTAGACAACTTAGTTAATGGTAAAGGGTTGTGTTTGCGTGAAATTGAAACAGCAAAGTAAAGACTTGTCTTGATAAGATTTTTGCCTTTGAGTTCAAGCAGCAGTTCTTTGAGTGATTGTAGACATGTATTCCACTCAGATGTGCACATGCCCCTCGCACTAAAGCCAGAGAACTTTGCCTAGCAGTGCCTGTAGGAGTGGTACTCATGTCTTCTCACCCCTTAGCCTATTTAAGGTCCTGTCACCTCCCTAGACTATTTAAGGGCTGTGCCACTCTGACCCCTTCAGCTCAGGCTTTATTGTATTTTATTGTATATAGTTAATAGTTGGTCAGTATTGTTTAGCAATACCCCTAGGTTTAATTTGTAGTAGTTATTTAGGATAGATAGTTACCCTGGGTAATGCCCTCATTTGGGGTTTAAACATTCTGTCGTATGAGGTGGATATCCCCAATAGCGACCCTCCACATGTGCTATTTGTTATGCCTGGGAGAAGAGCATGTTATAGAAAGGTGCTCCATCTGCAAAGTGTTTCAAAAGGGAATGCAGGTGGAGCAGTCCATGAGGCCCACTTTGGCCCCGGGGATGTCCACAGATCATCCAGCTCCGTGCTCTTCTTCGGAGCCGACACGAGATGCTTCTCTGGGTTCGAGGTCCACTGCTTCCCTTAGTCCTCTGAGAAAGAGGTCCCACAAGACTGACTGAGACCATTCCAGAGGTCAGAGATTTTTCTTCATCTTCCAAGAGGGGGGGCTGACCAGCACCATGATTCCTCCAGTATGCCAGATGGAGTAGGGTCGCCTAACTGCTCACTGGTACTGTGCCAAGATCAGTTGGACATAGTTGGTGTTGATCTCAACAGCACAATCTCTGTGCCATTGGCCTAGCAGACAGCATCAGATGTACTCTGCCTCTCTGTTCCTGATTCCCCAATAATTCAGGCGCATTCAGCTGCCATGGCATCTGCTGCTTCTGCTGTACTCTTGGCATCATCTGGTCCCAGAGTTCTCGTTCATCAGTATTGTATACCACACTGCCTAATGCAGTAGGGATGGGGCCTCTGACCTAGTATGTACTAGCCACCCTGACCCTTATTCCCAGTTGCCCACTTGGAATTCTTGGGATGTTCCTTGGTGTATAAGATCCTGTTCTTCAAAGTAATCCAGAGGAAGGTTGCCGATTCTGGCTAAAATTTATCTTCCTGAGCCATCTCTATTACAAGTACAATCTGAGGTAATTCCTCCTGAGCTGGTTCAGCCTGATGCTCTCATGCAGGAGCCTCCAGTGGCCCCATCCCCTTCTACTTCCTGCTCACCTGATGACTCTCTGATACTGGACTGTTCTTCACCTGTGCCTGAGGATTTTAAGTTATACCAGGACCTCCTGAGGCACATGGCTTCCACCTTGGGCATTTAAGCTGAGTTTGTGCAGAATACACATAAATTGCTGGATATTCTCAAGTCGTTAGCTCCAGGAAGGGTAGCTTTCCTGATAAATGAAGCTCTCTTGGCGCCTACCAAGTCCTTGTGGAATATCCCAGCTTCATTACCACCTACAGCAAAGCTCTCTGGGAAACAGTGTTATGTTCCTTTGCAGGGTTTCGAATGCTTCTGTTTCCATCCAGTTCATAGCTCGCTCATGGTAACAGCATTAATGACAGATCATGACACGGGAGATGTAAGTCCACCACCAGGGACAAAGAATCTAAGAAGATGGACTTGATGGGGAGAAAAATGTACACAACTTCATGATTGCTACTGCGTGTTGCAAATCAGCAGGCACTGTTATCTAAATATGATTTCATCAATTGTGTCACTATGTTCAAACTCACAGAGAAGTTGCCAGAAGTGCCCACTTAAGAGTTTACAGCTTTCGTTGCAGAAGGTCATCTGGTAGGCAAAGCTTTGCTGCTGTCAGCCCTGGATCAGTCGTAGACTTCTTCCAGAGCTATGGGATCAGCTGTGACTATGAGGAGGGCCTCATGGTTGCGAATTCCGGAAGATCTCCTGATGTTCAGCAGAGCATAGTAGACTTAGCTTTTGATGATTGGCTTTTGTTTTAGTAGAAAACTGATGAGACTTTACATTCTTCGCAGGACTCTCAGGCTCCTTTGTTGGGGGTTTATACCTGTGACGAAGTAAGGAATTTTCTTAATGGTTTGCATGAATACTGTGTGTGTCTCAGTTTCCCTGTGTGCTGCATGATTAATGAGGTGGTGGGGAGAGGGTGTTTGTTGTTGCAGAGGAGGTGTGACCTCGCTTAGCAGTCAGGGCCCCGGATAACGACCTGGAGATTGGGTACCCTAGCAACTGGTGACCAGAAGGCTCACCCCATCTTGGAAGTCAACCAGTTCTGACCAGTGGGGGAACAAAGGGGGAGAGGGATAGCTCAGTGGTTTGAGCATTGGCCTGCTAAACCCAGGGTTGTGAGTTCAATCCTTGAGGGGGCCATTTAGGGATCTGGGGCAAAAATCTGTCTTGGGATTAGTCCTGCTTTGAGCAGGGGCTTGGACTAGATGACCTCCTGAGGTCCCTTCCAACCCTGATATTTTAAAAAAAAAAAAAAAAGACGAGAGAGGGCCCAGGTGGCATTTTTACCTGGGACCGAAGACAAAGGACGGAGGAGGGGCTGTTGGAGAAGGTGATAAAGGATGATGGGCTGGAAGGAGGGGGCGGCTGGACTGGGGACTGAGAGAGCAGCCTGAGCCCATCAGGACTGGGGCAGACCCAGATAGACTCTGGACCCGAGGGCCCTGAGAACTTCCTGTGCTGGGTTCAGACATTCAATAAACCCTTCTGTTTTAAGCTGGCTGAGAGTCACTGCAGTCTAGAGATCAGGGTTGCATTGTTGCTTCTGGGTGTGGTGAGTGGACTCCCTGAGAGGGCCCATAGCGAGAGAGACAGGTGTGCAGAAGGCTCAGAGGTACAGTTCCAGGAGGTGGCAGGGCCAGAGGGCCTAGCCCCAGAGAGAGAGTGCAACCTTCACGGAAAGCTGTCACACTGAAGAGGGTTACTCCGAGGGACCATATGGAGCTGAGAGAGCACAGGGCCTGTGAGTCCTTGATCATACTCCAGCCACAAGGAGGTGGCATTATAGAGGTCAGCAGTAATAGCATCAATATCACTCTCAGCTATTTTTCTGGCAGTTGTTCTTCCCTGTTATGCAGCAGGACTTATCTAGTAGAGGACGTGGATTGTGGAGGAGAAATGGGCCTTCTGGGTCTAATTTCAGCCAGCTAGCTGGTCATCCTTCAGTGAGCAAGCAGCCATTTTGACTTTTAGATCCAAGGCAGCATTCCAGTTGTGACTTCCATGCCTCTATCTGCTCAGGTTGGGGACAGGCTGTCTTGCTTTATCCATGCTTGGGATACGGTAATAGACAAATAGGTCCTAAGCACCATGAGATCGGGTTGTGCCATTCAATCTCTGTGCATCCCTCTTCCCTACATTCCTACCCTTTCCCTTTTCAGAACCCCTCTCACAAGCCACTGCTCTTTCAGCAGGTCCACACTCTGCATGCTTCGGAAACTATAGAAGAGGTCCCTCTGCAGCACTGGGGAAAGGAATTCTATTCCTGGTATTTCCTGGTCCCCAAATTCAGAGGAGGGATGAGACCTATTCTCAATCTCTCCTCTCAACAAATACATCAAATATGGGAGACTCCGTATGGTCATTCTAAGCAGCTATTCTTCTGTGTTAAATCACAACTCGCTTGCTGGCCTGGATCTTCAGGATACTTACTTCCACATGGTGACTTTTTTTCCCCAAGCCACAGGAGGTTTGAGATTTGTTGTGGCAGGTGAACATGATCAGTACACAGTGCTACCCTTTGACCTGTCCCCTCTTCCTTGCATTTTTACCAATGCATGTCAGTCGTGACAACATACCTCAGAAAAAGAGGAATTCATGTCTTCCCGTATTTGAACAATTGCATAGTGAGGGGCAAGTCAAGAGAGCAAGTCCTCTCACCTGTCCAGTTCACATTATGCCTTTTTCAATAGTCTGGGTCTGATCTTGAACAAGAGAATGTTGACATTAATACCATCTCAAAAAATCAAGCTCATTGGGGCCCTCTTGGATTCTACAAACTCAAGGGCATTTTTGCCAAATGAGTGATTCCAGGCAATTAGTCACCTGTCTGTGTCTCTGCTCTCACGCTTCTGTTCCAATCTGAGTGTTTCTGAAGCTGTTTGGTCATATAGCCAAACCCTTATTTGGACCTGCATGCAAGATTGCACCTTTGTCATCTTCAAGCGTGGTTGAAGTTGATCTATCACCCAAATTGTCAAGCATTGGACTGTCAAGTTCGAGTGCCTCCAGAAGGTCTGGATTCTTTCCAGTGATGGTTAGTTCAGAGCAGTGTATGCCAGGGTGTTGCCTTCGCTTGCCCCCACCACCCCGGACAGGACCATAATTACCAGTGCTTCCACAATAGGTTGGGGAACACATCTGGGGGAATTGGAGGTACAAGGTTTGAGGATGGAGCAGGAAGCATCTCTTCATACCAACATCTTGGTGCTTTGAGTCATTTACAATGCCTGCAAGGTATTTTGAGTACAGCTCAAGGCTGTAGCAGTTCATGTACCCACCACCACCACAATGTATTATGTGAAGAAGCAAGGGGGAGCTTGCTCCAGTCAACTTCATCATCTCTTGACAAAGCTCTGGCAGCTCTGCACTCAAGATAACATTACTCCTGCAGTTGCTCATTTACCAGGGGCCCAGAATTACTTGGCCAATTGTCTTGGCAGGAATTTCTCCTAGAATCATGAGTGGTCTCTGAAGAACAGAGTGCTGAGGTCCACCTTTGCATCTGTTTGCAATGAAGGACAACAAGCAGTGCGGGTCCTGAGCAGGTCTCAGTCCATGTTCCCTGAGCGATTCATTTAATCTGAATAGTGGATCAGTCCTGATGTATGCTTTCCCCTGATCCCAGTCATTCCTGAGATGAAGCTGGATCATAAGATTGATTCTCATCACACCAGCTTGGCCAAGATTGCATTTATCTGTGATGTTTCTTTATGAATGTTTGCAGGATTGCTACTTGGTCTTCCATACCTACTTCTACCAAACATTATGCTATCACATCTGTGACCAAATCAGATTTGAATTTTGGGAAGGCATTCTTGCAGTTGCTCTTTAAAATAGACTCCAAGCCCCATCTCCTCTTGATACTGCTTTTGAGCCACCTGAGTGGAATGCATGTCTGCAATCACTCGAAGAAAAGATGGTTATTTACCTGTCCTGTCACATTATTCATCAAGATGTGGATGCAGATGTTTATTTCACAACCAACCCTTCATGAGAGGTCAGGATTGTGTTGCCCTTAAATAGCTTGGGGAGGACCTAAAAGGCCAGTGGTTATGAGCACCACCTGTACAGGTACTGCTACGCAGTGTTCTCTGACTTTGGTGCACTGGGCCATGTGCACACCTGAATGGAATACATGTCTGCACCCACATCTTGAAGAACAGTTACAGTACAGATAAGTAACTTTTTCGCTGATTAACAATGATGCAACTTGATCAGTATTCAGTTATAACACACATAGTGTTTCAGTGTGTCATCAACAGTTTACTAGCTTGGATGCTGACACTAAGCTCTCTAATCATGGTTATCAATTATGAATTTTAGATACTAGCCTTTGGGAAGTTCTCATCAGAATTGTAAATAATGATACATCTAATTTCACCTGCAGAAGTAATTTAATTTATTTTTCCAATAATCTGGCAGCTTCAAATTAAAAATTTATTAAATATCCTTTCCAAATGGCTTGCGGTGTTCAGAACAGCTTCAGACAAATGTCATGGCCTCAGCAAAGTACATAGCACAAGTATTTAGTTTTGCTTAAGGAATAAAAAAGCTTTTAATATTTCTTGAACCTTTCTGCTACAACCTGTAATTAAATTGAATTTCAAAACCCTTCTTTTTTTTTTTTTTTTTTTTTTTTTTTAATGGAGATATCCCATCTCCTAGAACTGGAAGGGACCTTGAAAGGTCATCGAGTCCAGCCCCCTGCCTTCACTAGCAGGACCAAGTACTGATTTTGCCCCAGATCCCTAAGTGGCCCCCTCAAGGATTGAACTCACAACCCTGGGTTTAGCAGGCCAATGCTCAAACCACTTCTTTGTCAGTCTCGAGTTAATTGAAAGTAAAAGTACAACTTAGCTGTGTTCAGAAATATGAAGCAAATTATGATAAATTCAGAATTAATCATGGACACCTACATTTTGTGTATTTTGTTTGGAACACTAGTTAAATACACTACTTCAGTTACTGGTTTATGTATATATCCCAGACTTTGTCCAAACATTGTGAGGGTTGTCATCCCAATATTTCTATGTGGTGACAACACTGATTCCTAATTTTATTTCCCATTTTATTCTCAGTACTGTTGTTAGTACATTCTTTGGCTCATGCTTTCTAGGTTATTTTGTGTAACTATTATGTCCTTTAAGTTTTAGTGGTTGTAGCTTATTAGTTGATTGAAGCATTTCTATTAAGGTTATTTGTTTTATGAAAACGTCTTCCACCAGGGGGCTGTAAAGAACCTCCAAGTGCAGGAATGGAAAACAATACTCTGTGCTGATTATGTTTTTGAGGAGGGAGAGAAATCTGTTATGTTGGGATATCACAAGACTTACATTAGTTTAATATTGCTTTTTTTAAAGTTTAGGTTGTTTTCCTGATGCTTAGTTTTGCCTTCAGTGCAGTTCTCTTTGTGCTCAATCTTATTTTTAAGAAATAACTAAGAGTCAAACTGTTACCTCAAAAATCCCCAGTTAAAGATCCTGTGAAGCAAGATTTTATATGTTCTCAAAGCTGCTTAGGTGATGATAGAGGCAGGCTTCATTTGGTGACAGAGTGGTTTGGCCCAACTCCCATTTAGAGGCTGGATATTTTTTAATTACACTAAACTAAAAGCAAGCCCTGGGCACAAATAGAGGGATTGAAGGCTTCTGCAGCTATTATGAAAGTAGTAATGTAAACAAGGTTTATGTTCTTTGAAGAAATATTCACTCTTTAAATAGTGAGAAGTTAGATTCAGTGTTGCGGAGTAGGGACAATGGTTGGCAAGTGTTTAAATCCAATTTAAGCTAGTTTAAACTGTAGATTGTAGACTTTACCTTTGTGACCATTGCTAACATGCTGTGATCGTGATGTTTTTCATGCTTTGGCTGTCCAAGTATCTGGTTCTGTAATTCAAAAGGAGTTGTCCCTGTGTTGAGCATCACCAATAATAAGTTTCTGTGGGACAGATGAGTCAATTATACCTGTGTAACCCTGTGGCTTTTAATGAATTTGCACAAGTCTTGCTGCTTTAACTTGATGAACTGTTCTGTTAATGCAGAAGGCATAGAAACCAACACCCTCAATCTTAATTCTGTCTGCTCTACAAGGTTACTGGAAATTAAAAGCCGCAACAATTAGCAGACATGACTCCAGATGCACAAAAAGATTGTGTTCCACAACCATCCTGACAGAAGAAATCCTGCCCTGGTTTAAAAACCTCTGACCTGGCTTTGCAGGTACTTTAAGCCCAGGCTAGCTTAACCAGTTGTGGGTAAAGGTTAGAGCCCAGGCTCCAGTTTAACTCAGGTCATTGTCACCTGTCTTCTTTTGAAGTGAGGATACAGGCAGTCAATCGAGTGCTGATAGTCCTCAGTGTCTGTCCCGCAGTTCCCCCAAAGAACAGACAAGTTCTTCTGCAGTTGACAGGAAAAGAATCCTAGGTTGGCTTAGCACACAGAATCGTGGGTGAGTGCGGAAACAGAAAACACAATAATGCAAGTAGGACTTTCAGTGTGGGGATCCTTGTGCCCAGACCCGGTTGCCAATCACCTGCATTAACTGTGAAGACATACTCCACACTTAGTCTCTGACAAAGCCTCATCTTTGTTACCAGACAAGAACAGGTTGACCACAATATCTTTTGTAATGAAGAAATTTTCATTTCTCTGAAATCCCTTTGTCATCAGTTAGCCCCCTTGCTCCCTGGTATCCCCATGCTTCTCTTGTAGGCATCCTGTTTCTAATACTTACAAAACTTCTTGCCTCTTTTTTTTCCCTTAGTTATTTTCTTCCAAAATTCCCTTTTGCCCATCTTACATTTTTTCCTGCCATAGTTGGTTCCTTTTTATTGGCTTCACTTTAGCTGGATTTCAATTTTTGAAGGATACCTGTTTGGCTCAAATACTCTCTTGTCCTTTGCCATTTAATCGTAGTGTGATTTGGGGTTTTTTTTTCTTTCCTGCTTCTTTTTTTAGGGGACTTAGGGGGGCATGCCCCCTATACATACCTTCTGTGATTCTTCTAGGGAATGCTTAAGTAATTCCCTTGCTGAGTGAAAGGATTTTAACTTCCTCACTTTATAATTTAGGGTCTTTTCAGGTAGCCTGCTATTATAAATCTACTCCCACTGTTACTTAGTGGGTCAACTATAATTACTTACTGACTCCGCTCCTGTGTTTTACTTCGGACTGATTATGTGGCATAGCTATTCCTCATGTATGCCATAAGTAGCTTTTCCAAAAAAGCTGTCATTTTAAGACATTGAGAAATGGCTTCTCTAAACCTTGTCCTGATATGACACTGGTACACTTTCTGTAAGTGGGTACTTGAAACAAGCATTATTACTAGTTTATTAAATTTTAGTTGTCTCTAGGCTCTCTCTCAATATTGCACATGCAATATCGTTCCTGATCCAGAGGCTGGTAGTATAAACTTATTAGTATGTTTTACATTTTTAGGAATTAAGATTTTTATGGATACCATTTGTATTTCCCTTTCCATTCAAACTTTTAGAGAGGTTGGCGGTAACTTCTAGGTATAGTTGGGTCCAACGCTGGAAAAATAGAGTAGGAGGGGTACTACCTCCCCTGCTGACACCACCTCCTGCCTTATGGAGGGAGAGGGGAAAGAGTCACTGGCTGCTGCACTGCCTACTTTGCTGAACTGTGGGACTACCTGAGAGCTTGGAGCAGAAGAGGTGCTGTACTGGCCCTACCTGAGCCCAGGAGATCACTTAATACAGAATGACTCTCCTTCCTGCACCCTCTAGTAAATCAGTAGAGAAGGGAGAAACTGATGATGAGCACCCCACCTTTCAGCCTGGAAAGAAGCCCACAGATACGTTGCGGGAGTTGGTGTGAATGAGAAGGAGAGTTGGAGGCACAGTGTGTTTAACACCAGCTTCCTCAATTAAAGGATTGTGACAGCCTGTCCTAATGTCCTTATGTTATTTCTGGAAGTAATTCAGTCTCCCTCTGGACCTCCAGATCAGCATCTCTGGTTTCAAGGTGCATTACTTGTGTTCTGAGCTCCACAACCCTGTTTGTGCCTGATGCATACGTAAAGCACTTGGCCATGAGGCAAAAAAGTGCACACCATAGTCTGTGCAGTATCCTTCCCTTTCTAGCTACTTACACTTGGGAGCATCTTTCTCTAACTTTGGTATTAGGTTGATCTAAGTTTTCTTACGTTAGAAGCTAATGTTTTATTTAATGTTTTATTAGTTTTTTCTTCACTCACTAACTGAACAATATACTTTTCTCAGTACCAGAATCTCATGCTGTTTACACTTACCTGTACTCGCTGAAAGCAGAATTTCATTGAAGACTGGCTCTGGCCAAGAGTGTGCAGAGACTTGAATGGTTGCTGAATATGTGCCCCATTGGTTCTAGTTTATTGTCATAATTTTCTCCCAATAAGCAGATGCAGATCAGTCACTGAGGGAAATATTTCCTTGACATCACACTAAAAGCCTGAAAATCTGTATAAATCAAATTTAATTCAGAAATGTACAATGAGCAATTGACTAGGAACTGAAGTGATACAAAATCTTCCCAGAGTCTGGGGACACAGATTAAACAAACAAACAAATCTTAACTATGTATTCTTAAGTTCCAAAAACAGAATAGCGACTATTTCAAAATGCATCCTTTGTTTTTAAATTTCAGGTGTCCATTAAGGAGACAGAACTATGACTATGGAATCTACCTCCTCACAGTTTTGTACCATGAATCGTGGGTAAGCAAATGAATGTATCTAGCAAAATAAACAGTGCTTTTAATTCAGAAAAGAGAACGCTTCACCTAGGACCACATTTAGTTAAAAATCCTGACTTGTGTGGTGGGTGGAATCATTCTGCAGCTTCAGCATGCTTGGAAGATTTACAAAAAGCATAATAGCCCTGTTCTGTCCAACGTGAACCACAGAAAGCACTTCTAATACCTTTCCAGGATGCCACAATTTTATTGTTTACCTGACTTCATATGCCCACAATAAATATCACCTCACAGGAGGTCTTAGAAATAAATTCCTTTCTTCTGACAGGCATTAGGAATAATTTTGATTGCATTTATCCTGATGCAGTATTAAAAAGCTAAACGGAAATGAAACAGCTTTCCATAAGATTTCAACTGGCTATTAAATGCACACACTGAAAATTGATAAGAAATCAGTGTAAAACGTTTGGGTTTTTTTAAATGTGGTTTTATAATACCTGATTATCTTAACCCAAAGCAAAATACAGAGAAGCAGGAAACAAAATAATTTGACAGATTTGTGTTTAAAAAATACAAGTTAATTAGTTAAATATTCAAGTGATAAAATCAAATTTGTTTTTAAGAAATGAATGAAGTTATTTTAAAGATGTCACAGATTATTTGAATCTTACACTTGTCTTAAAATACGTTTTTTTTCCCCTTTGGGGAATATTTTATATTCAAAACAAATTTTTTTAATGTGTACAACTTAATTAAAAACAAGTCTGTGCCTAGTAAGTTTCACAAAAGTAGTGACCTTGTGGTGAGTGAAATATTCTCCTGTGGTGGGTAGAGGGAGAATAATTTTGCATTTATTCCAGTTCGGGGTCTCTTTTTTTGGTTGGCCCCTCCCACCCACTGCCCAATTGCTGAGGCTGTCAGTGGGAGCATCAGTTGTGATGTGTTATCAAGAACACTTGTACATTAGGAATTAGAATGAAAAACTGTTTCGTATAGGTCATCAAATGGACATAAGACAACTTTTCAATCCATACTCTTTTCTCTATCAAAATGTATCCCTCAGCTGGCCTGTTAATACTCAGTATATCCATTTCTCCCATGACTTCTAGTCATTCCTATTGATTACAAATATTAAAATGCCTTTTTTTAAAGGAATCTATTACATTATATAGAATGATAAAAGCAGCATAACATACGTGCCATAAAAAGAACGTTGAAAACCAATACTTGCATTTTGGATAGCTTCTATTTGTTTCAGGGAAGTAACTGACAAATATGACATTTGGCCGCCACTGCCACTACATTTGGCATTTGTACAGCATGCATGTTTTCACACAGTATGTGAACAGGTATGTTTACAAGTATAGTATTTTTTCAGAGTCTGTAAAATGTAGCAGACTGGTAGTTCTCAAAATATTGATTAAAAAAATAGTACATTCAGTTAACGTTAACCATCTGACTAATTGTATTAGACTGAAAATAAGTTGGGTACTTCCTTCCCACAATCTCTCAATCTTAGTTGTGCCTTGGTGTCACTGCTTTTGTTACCCAGCTTTTATATACTTCTCTGTGAACCTTGCAGTACTTAGCCCTGGTCTACGCTGCGGGGGGGGGGGTCGACCTAAGATACGCAACTTCAGCTACGCAAATAGCGTAGCTGAAGTCAGCGTATTTTAGGTCGACTTACCTGGCCGTGAGGATGGCGGCAAGTCAACCACTGTCGCTCCCCCATCGACTCCGCTTCTGCCTCTCGCGAGCTGGAGTTCCAGATTGACGGGGAGCAGGTTCGGGGATCGATTTATCCGTGTCTAGACAAGACGCGATAAATCGATCCCTGATAGATCAATCTCTACCCACCAATCCGGCGGGTAGTGAAGACCTGCCCTTAGTCAGAGTGCAGTTAAATTGGATTGTATTTTTAGTCTTGCCTTTGTATGAGAAGACCCTTAGTTTCCCTTCATAATACTATTTTTAGTTGACTTTCCAGTAGTATTTAAGTCCCCATAATCAACATTCTTTCAAAGTCTAATATTTCTGCCTTCAGTCATCATAGTTACTTAATTATGTAATAACTCATTCAATGAGGTATTTTCATTTGATCAGAGACTACCTTGAAGGATGCGTATGATGTAATTATAGACAACATGCTATTAAATTTGGTTTATGAATTTATATTTTAAAGAATAAGTTTTATAAATAAGCTTTTACTTTTCAGTGGTATGCTACCAACATAGGTATTTTCTTTTTACCAGTAACACAAATCTCGAACGCAGATGACAGATCAAAGTTTCCAGTAGTAGAACAGTGACAACAGAGGCTAAACGCTGTTCCTTTTTTATGAATTCCAGGCAAACAACACATCTGTCCTTTGCTCTAGCATTACTTAGTGATAGAAGTCCAGGCCATACGATATTGCCATGTGAGTGCTTGCTGTGTATTGAATACGCACAAGTCTCTTGCCCTTTTATTACCTTTCAACTTCCATGTTAATATTTGATGAACTCATCAATCAGTTGTAATTGTCTTTGATTTCCATGAAAAATTTATGGTCTGCTGTGACATATTTGATTTTTTCCATGATCAGTGTAATCCCTTTTAATAGACCTGCTGAAAGATAGTTTCAATGCATTTTGTTAACCATAAGCAAACCGGCTGTGATCTATTTTAATCTGTGTGAACTTTAAATATCGGGGGGGATTAATCCTAACTATAGACAGTAACGTTAGACAAAAGTAATCTCGATATTTGTTCACCTTGCCAACAGAGTGGTGCCACATTGCATGCTTGCATGAGTGTGGTTGGTGGAATGCAATAAGAAAATGAGGCCAGTCTTTCCTTTCCGTGTTGACTGTTACTGCTTTTGTTGCAGGTTGTGATGCAAGACTTAAAGACCCAGTGCAGTACTTGTTGTTTTAGTTATTGTAGATCCTCTCTAATTTGTACTAATGACTGGAAGAACTGTTGTGAATTACTGAAACTTGCAAATTAGCACGTATGGGAACAAACAGAATATGAAAACCAAGGGCTGTATATAGGTCAGAAAGTGTAGTTATGTTTTAAGTGTAACTTGGCTTTAATTGTTTGACGCGCCAAAGCATATGTACTAGTATTAGGAAGTAATTTGTCAAAATAATTACATATTAGTAATATGAGGTCTCATTTATAGTATCTCCTAATTAAACCTTTTCTCAGAGGTGGGAGGTGCCAATTTCTATGTGAATTGTCCAATGCTTGGTAAATTGCATGCTATTGATCTGTATAAAGTGATGCAGGAGTAGTAAAGTGCTAATATAACTTTGTTCCTAAGTAACACATACATAGTTAATTCTGGGTTGGTTGATTTTTGGAAAAAATCCCTTGTGGATCACTCTTTGCAGAAAACTCATGTACTTTTTTCCCCAAAGATTGCCTTCCAGGTCCAAGTTTGGTCTCGAGGAGCATTTCTTCCTTTCTAACTGAGGCTTCAGTCCAAGGACCAGGTCCTCTAGTAGTGGAACTCTGATTTTATAGATATTGCAGTAGCACTTGAAGGATCCAATCAGAATTGGGTCTCCATTGTGCTGGATACTGTAAAAATAGCCAGTGACAGTTGCTGTTCTGGTGTGTTCACAGTCTATATGTGCAACAACTCAGTGACAAACTAAATGGGAAGGAAAGGAGAGGGCAGGAGTAACCAATAAAGTAACAGTTGCATAGATAAGGTATTGCTTAATATGAAGTTTCTTTGTGTGTCTGTGTTTACAGGGCTCATTTTTTGTCTAATTAGAAACAAATATCAGCTATCCCTGATTGACTGGCTCTGTGTCAATCTTTGGAGGTAGGAATGTTTGTGTGCATTAATTCAGTGAGTGTGTTCTGTGTATAACAGGCAGCATTGAAGGCATGGAGTAAATTGTGGGAGCAGCTGAGCAGATGAGACTAGCATTAGCGGAGTGAAGTTGGGTTGATCTATTGAGATGAACAGACGGGAAGAGTCAGAATTGGGAAGCGCTTAAAGAGTGAGCACAAGAAGACTCCACTTGATGCAGTGAAGCCAGTGGAGAAATTCAGAGTGTTATTGATGTGGTCAAAATAATGTGAAAGGAAAATTATCTTAGTAGCTACTTTTTTGAATGGACAGTAGATAGGCAATGTGAGGCTGCGGTACTCCAGATGAGAAATAAAGGAATAGGTAGGTAGTCTTTAAACACTGGAGAGTGTGCGAAGGTCAGATTTTGGAAATGCTATGGAGGGAGAAACTGTGACTGGATGTGAGGGGCAAGGGAGAGGAAGAAGTCTGACTACAACCTAGATTAGGAGCCTGAATGAATGACAAGATGATTGTTGTGGTTTCAACAGTGACTGAGAATGGGGTGAAGATGAAACCTTGAGAGGAAAGATCAGGAATTCATATTCTGCCGTGTTAAGTTTTTGTCAATGAGATATTTAGAAAGAGGGGCTGGAGAGACAGGCTGAGATGAGGAATTATACACATGGAGACAAGTCAGGAGTGGGAGAAGTATATTTGTGAATCACCTGTGTAAAGGTGGGTAGTTGGAGCCATGTGAATAGGTGAGGCACCCAAAGAAGGTGTGGAAACACTTCTAACACATTTTATGGTTTTACTTGAAGCCACTACGCAGGCATAGTTGAAAGTGTCTTCCCACATGCTGATCCCACAAATGGTTTGATCCTGCAAACTCCTATGGAAGTTGAGAACACTCAGCACTTTTTCCAGGATTGGGCCCCAAGTTTACCGAAGTGTATGTTTCCCTGGGAGATCTGTAAGTATGGGGCAAATTTGGCAAAGTGTGAAGTTTAAGTTTCCACGACCATTTTGAAGGGAGAACTAGGATGATTTCCCTGTTTCTGGCATTCATTCCCACACAGTATAATGCTAACCCATCCCTGGCATAAGAAGACTTCTTAATCAGCGGGGCTCCGGTTCTCTTTGGAATGTACCTGATTGCCCCACGTATTAGATATTTGTCGGGGGCAGGGTGAAACCCCTGGAGGAAGCTATGCCTGGACTCCCTAAAGTCT